AGAGGTTTTTGCTATAGAGTGTGTGCACTCGCCAGAAAGACAGAGACAGAGAGACAGAAAGTGAGAAATCACCCCCCAGGGAAGATGGCCATGCCGCAATCCCAGCTCCTCAACTTTCCTCTCAGGATCTTAGGCACGCATGCACACATGCCCGGCATGAGTCTTAGCCACCAGGTCTGGGACTTGAACCGCTGTCAACTACATGGGAGTCCAGTGACATAGCCATTACGCCAACTGCTGGTCCCTGACTTTATTTTTCAAATCTGCTAGAACACTCACTAGAGAGAGAGAGAGAGATGGAGAGAGAAGGAGAGAGAGGAAGGGAGGGATAGGGAGAGAAGGCACCCCTCCAATGAGGTATGGTCACGCCACAATCTCTTCTCCGTTTCTCCATTCTGCTGGGATTTGGGGTACACATGCACACATGCCTAGCGTGTTTTTCACTAAGCTGCCAGGTCTGGGACTTGAACCTTGTTGACTACCTGGGAGTCCAGTGACATAGCCATTATGCTAACTACTGGTCCCTGATTTTATTTTTCAAATCTGCTAGAACACTCACCAGAGAGAGAGAAAGAGAGAGATGGGGAGAGAAGGAGAGAGAGAGCGAGAAGGCACCCCTCCAATGAGGTATGGTCACGCCACAATCTCTCGGTTTCTCTACTCTGCTGGGATTTGGGGTACACATGCACACATGCCTAGCGTGTTTTTCAAGCTGGGATTGGGATTCGAACTGTGGTCGGCTCTGTGGATCCAGTTCCCTTAACCACTAGGCCACGAGGCTGGCCTGGACACTGCACTATTTTCTGCTGGGGGGGACGAAGCCTATTTCTGCTGATTTTCAATGAGGTCTGTGTCAGACCCATGAAGACCGCCTCTCCCCCACTGTCTCCTCACTGCGGGCAGGTCATTTACACACTGAGCCTCGGTTCCCAACGTCTAAACTGGGCACAGTATTAGTATCCACCTCACGGGCCAGGTGGGCGGCCCCGATGAGATTCTGCAGGAAGGTTCGGTGTGGGTAGGCTCCACGCGAGGGGCCCGAGTCACCCCCACAGGGGGCTGTGCCTCTCTAGCAGCTGCTGAGAGCCTGCTCAGAAGAGCCAGGGGAGGTGGGGAGCATACTGAACACCTTCCTCAACCCCCAGGGCCAACACTCCCCCCAGCCCTGGGGGGCCTTGGGCCAGGGGCTGGGGACCACCCCTGTAGCGCAGAGCCCACTGAGGTTCTGTCAACGACTCAATCTTATGGTTGCTGAGGCCTGCCTTCCTGCCTCGACCCGGCTTCCCCTGGAGGCCACGGAGAAGGCCTGGCCGGGCGTCCCCCCAGTCCATTCAAATGACAAATGAGCACCTCCTCCCATGGCCCCGCCACCTGGCCCTGACTGGAAGAATGAGGTGACAGGACGGCCACTGCACCCAGGCGGGGCCTTCCAGCATCACCGCCCACTTCGGTCCCTTCTCCCCAGAGACAGGGGCCCGCGATGCTGACAGCTACCAGCCTGCAAGCCGCACTAGCATCCGGTTGCAGCTCTCACCTCTCGCTTGGCTTTGCGGAGAAACATCTCGTCGGTGTGCCGGAAGGCTTCTCTGAGCGCCCCCGCGGGGTCCATCAGCAGCTCTGGCTGGCGGGCGGCGTTGGCGTGCACGTGGACGGAGGCATACCTGGCGGCGTCCACTCCTCCGTGACCATCAAACACGGCAAAGTAGGCGCGGTCCACAGGGTCCTGGGAGCCACGCCGCGAGAGTCACAGCCCTGCCCGTCTCATCCCTGCCCGGATCTGGACCCCCCAGTTGGAGCTCTGGTCGGGAGAGCGGAGCCAGGGGCTGACCGGGTGGGGACGGGGAAGGCCCTCGCCCTCGGACAGGGCAGCCTGGCTTGGCCACTGGTGAGCTGGGAGGTGTGGAACCTCAGTTTCCCTGTCTGGACTGAGTCGCTCCCTGCGACTCAGTGAGAGGCGTCGGGGCTCAGCTGCCATGGGACAGGTGAACGTGTCCCTTCCTAACAGCCCGCTGCCTTCCTTCCGTCCCTCGCTGGGAAAGCAAGGTGACCAGCAGCTGCCATGGCCCAGAGGCACCAGGATGACAATGTGCCTTGCAGACCCCCCAGGAAGTGTTCTGAGGCTGCCTGGCTCTGAGCTGCCGGCTGGCAAGCTTTGATGGGCACCTGGGTGGCCAGCACCCTCCCCCCCCCACAAAAATGGCCCCGCACCCTCCCCCCCCCCCTCCGCTGCAGGATACTGCCCGCCTGCCCCGGGCCCCGGAGGGAGTGCTCACCGACAGGCCGAAGAGCTGGTTGAAGGCGGGAAGAGACACATGCCGGTCCTCCATCTTGCGACGGGTGTTCCGGATGGCGTGGGTGGAGACCAGCCACTGCCGCTGGGGGGCCCGGGCTGCTCGTGGCACCTGCTTCTGCCACTGGCTGCACACTTCCCAGAGGTGGTTAAAGAAACTCCGCGCCAAGGCTTTGGCATCTAGCACTGATGGGCCCATGAAGGATTTGTAAGGGAGACCCGGCCGACCGGGCCAGCTGGGACTCTGCTGGCTCTCCCCCAGCTTCCCCTGCTCCCCAGCACCCGGTTACCCAGACACCCCACGACTAGTCGCACAGGCTCCACCAGCCGGTCACCCCCCAGGTACTCTGAGCACACCGACCTCATAAACCATGCATGGTGGCCTGTCATCAGCGGACGGACATGTCTGGGCTGGGGCCAGCCATGGTGCAGCACAGGGAGCACACGGCTACTCGGGAAGCTGGGAGCCACGTGGGAGGCCCGAGTTTGGTTCCCAGGCTACCTTGCACACTCTGGGTGTGGTTGTATGTGCCTATGACCCTAACTGGAGGCTGAGGCAGGAGGGTCACGGCACTGGGAGACCCTGTCTAAAGGACCCATCTTGGGCCAGTCAGTGGCTGGGTCCCACATGGCCGACTAGGACTGTTCAAGTCCCAGATCTGGTGGTTCAAAAATGATGCCAAGAGCGTGTGCATGCATGCCCCAAATCTGGAGAGAACAGAGAAGGGGTTATGGTGTGGCCATCCCCCCAGGGGTTGATTTCTCAGTTTCCCTCTTCTTGCCTTTCACTCACCCTCTCCCTGTCTCTCTGGCACACACATGTACCTTATAGCCAAACTTCAAAAAAAAAAAAAAAAAAAAAATGGGGGTTGATTTCTTGCTTTCTGTTTCTGTCTCTCACTGTCTTTCTGGCAAGCGCACACGCCCTATCGCAAAAACCTCTCCAAAAAAAAAAAGTGAAAAAATAAAAAAGAATTATTATTATTATTATTATTATTAAAAAAGATTTTCTGGGGCCAGCAGGTGGCGTGGCAACTTAAAACTCACACCAGGCATATGTGCCCAAGAACCCGAGAGGAGATGACCATCCCCCCGGGAGGGTGATTTCTTACTTTCTGTCTCTCCGGCGAGTGCATGTGCCCTGTAGCAAAAATCTCTCTCTTAAAAAAAAAAAAAAGAATTATTGGATTTTATTCATCATGATTATTTTTTTAATTTGATCAGAGAGAGACAGAGAGATACAGAGAGGGAAAGTGAGAAAGTAAGCTACCAAGTCCAGGACTAGGACCACGATCTGACATGTGGGTTCAGCACCTTAATCACCATGCCACCTGCTGGTCCCAATTTATATGCATTTTTTTAATTGCCAGAGGGCATGGTTACACTGCAATCCCTTATCTGCTTCTCCATCCCGTCGGAATTGGAGGCATGCACACGTATGTGCATGGCATGTTTTTCAAGTCAGGATTCGAACTGCAGTCAGCCATGTGGGATCTGGGTGGGATCTGGCGATGGAACTGGTCTATACTTTGACTATTTTTTTTAAAGGAATTATTTTATTTAACATTATTTATTTACTTAATTTTGACCAGAGAGAGACAGAGTGAGAGAGTGAGAGAGTGAGAGAGTGAGAGAGAGAGAGAGAGAGAGAGTGAGAAAGCAAGCTGCCCAGTCCAAGACTCGAACCGCAGTCAGCCATGTGGGAGTCCAGCAACCTTAACCACCACACTATCTGCTGGCCCCTATGTTGTTTGTTTGTTTTTTTTAGAAAGATTTTTTTCTATGGATTTTTTTTTCTGAAACTTTTCTTTTTTTTGTAACTTAATTTACATTCTTTCCTTAAGCATCATCACAGCATACAAAATGTGATTTCCCATCCAGAATATACTGCATAGTGACTTAATCATGCATATTATTATCCCAAATTTTCCATTTATAGTTCCTAGAATTTTTACCCCTTTTCTGACCCTCCGTCCTTACCCACCCTCTTCTCCCACTGTCTCTGTTGTCTACAATTGTCTTCCATTCCTTTTGCACCCACATTGTATTGATCACACAATTTCTTAAATGATCTAACTACTTTCAATGGTAAGTTCATATGGTACTATTAAGAAAACCAGTTTTAACTTAAATCAAAGAAATGCTAAGGAACTTTTCTTAAAGCACTGGTGATGTCACTGGACTCCCATGTAGTCAACTACAGTTCGAGTCCTGGACCCAGTGACTTAAACTCATGTTGGGCACATGTGTGTGTATGCCAAACATCCTGAGAGAAGAATGAAGAAAGGATTGTGGTGTGGCCATCCTCCCTGAGAGCTAATTTCTCACTTTCTGTCTCTATGTCTCTCTCTGTGGTGAACACATGGATCCGTTTTAAAATAAAATAATTCTTAAAAAAAAAAAAAAACAAAAAAAAAAGAATCTGGTTTGGTGGGGTCGGCATGTGGCATAGTGGTTAAGGCACTGGACTCCCAAATGGCCTACCACGGTTCAAGTCCTGGAGCTGGGCACTTACTTTCTCAATTCTCTTTTCTCTCCCTCTGGTCAAATTTTTTAAAAAGCAAAAATTTGGTTTGGGCCTTTTGACCCACTCTTTTTCTGTCTGCTCAGGCCTGTTCCTCTCTCTCAGGAGTGTACTTATATTTTTACTTAGCAAACTACCCTTTCCTTTCACTAAAAAATAAAACAAAAGATTCTGGTTTGGATATATATATTGTTTTAATTGGGAGAAGAGGGACGCCCTTGCCAGAGACAGAGATAGAAAAAGAAAGCTCTTTGTCCCCTCCCACGGGGCAAGGTCCCACCACGATCCCCTCTCCCCCACTGGGATTTTGAGCATGCATACAGACATGCCCAGTGTATTTTCCAAACCGCCAGGTCCAGGACTCAAACTGCATGGTCAGCCATATGGGATCCAGCCAGCTTAACAACTGGGCCTTGAGCTGGCCCAAGTATGCTTTTTAAATATCGTTCTGTTACAAGGGTTAGCCCTGTGTCATTAATTCTTTTTTTTTTTTAGAGAGAGAGATTTTTGCTATAGGGTGTGAACACTCACTGGACAGACAGACACAGAGAGAGAAAATGAGAAATCACCCCCCAGGAAGGATGGCCACACCGCAATCCTTCTCCTCCACTCTCCTCTCAGGAGTTTGGGCATACACGCACATATGCCTGGTGGGAGTTTCAAGCCTCTGGGACCAGGACTAGAACTGTGGTCGGCCATGTGGGAGTCCAGCACTTTAGCCACCACACCACCTGCTGGTCCCTGTGTGATGGCTGTAAAAGTCCCACTGGGCCAGGCCGTAGCATGGTGATAAGGCAACTGAGCCCACGCGGGGAAGGCCCTGAGCTGTCTGGGATCTCCTTGTACACACGGGGTGTGCACGTGTCGTGAGCCAGGCTTGCTGACACGGGAGGGAGATGGTGGCATCAAGACCCTGTTGGGGGGCTTGTCTATCTGTCTCGGGAGAAATTAATGAATTCGCTTAAAAAAGAAAGCATGAATGAATGAGGTGGAAGGGACCAGGTCTGGCTTCAGATGTGGTATGGAAAGACCAAGGCGGTCTCCATGTTGGGTTTGTGTACGGCGTGTGCGCTCTCTCCCTCTCTCTCTCTCTTTCTTTCTTTCTTTAAGAATTATTTTGGGACCAGCAGGTGGCGTGGTAGTTAAGGGTGCTGGACTCCCACATGGCTGACAGTGGTTCGAGTCCCAGATCTGGTGGCTTGCTTTCACTCTCTGTCTTATACTCCGTCCCTCTCTGATCAAATTAAAAATCAATCAATAAATTCATTTTTTTTAAAAAGAACAATTTTTTTTTTTTGGAGAGATTTTCACTGTAGGGCGCGTGCGCTCGCCAGACAGACAGAGAGACATAGAGAGAGAAAGCGAGAAATCACCCCCCAGGGGGGATGGTCACGCCGCAATCCCTTCTCCTCCATTCTCCTCTCTGGATCTTGGGCACGCACGCACATGCGCCCGGTGTGAGTTTTAAGCCACCGGGTCCGGGACGCGAACCGCAGTTGACTACGTGGGAGTCCAGCGACATAGCCATTACGCTAACTGCTGGTTCCCAAAAAAGAACAATTTTTATTGAGACCAGCAGATGGCAAAATGGCTACGTCGCTGGACTTCCATGTAGTTGACCGTGGCATGAGTCCCAGAACCAGTGGCTTAAACTCACACTGGCACTTATGAGTGCGTGCCCAAGATCCAGAGAGGAGAATGGAGGAGAAGGGATTGCGGTGTGGTCATCTCCCCTGGGGGGTGATTTCTCACTTTCTGACTCTGTGTTTCTCTCTCTCTGTCTTTCTGGCGAGTGCACGCACCCTATAGCAAAAACCTCTCAAAAAAATTACTTTTATTTTACTTATTTACTTACTTATTTAATTAATTTAAATTTGACCAGAGAGGGACAGAGTGACAGAAAGAGAGAGGGGAAAGTGAGAAAACAAGCTACCAGTTCTGGGACTCGAACCGTGGTCGGGCATATGGGAGTTGAGCACCTTTAACCACCACACCACCTGCTGGCCCCGCCCCCTCTCACTTTCTCTCTCTTGTGAATCGCTTGGTCTGAGGAAGCCGGATGTCAGATGTCTGTGTCTGAGAGAACGGTCCAGCAGCACACAGAATCCACAGGAAAGGGAACTGAGCCCCCTGCCCAGGCCGTGGCTGGCCCATCCCGGAAGGGGGTCTCCCCAGCGTAGTTGGTGTCTGTAGGGCCACAACCAGGGTACCACACCCAAGGTGCTCCCAAACTCCAGACCCACGGAAACTGGGGGGAGTAATGTCTCTGGATTTAAGCTGCTAAATTTGGGCGTAATTTGTTACATAGTAATAAATAACATGTCCTAGCACTCATTGAAAAGCCTGGCTTCAAAAAAACAAAAAAAAAAAAAAGAAAAGAAAAGAAAAGTCAAGTCTGGCTTCTGGAACCAGCAGGTGGCGTAGTGGTTAAGGCGACTGGACTCCCACATGGCTGACGGAGGTTCGGGTCCCAGACCTGGCAGTTTGCTTTCTCACTTTCCTTCTCTGTCTCTCTCTGGTCAACTTCAAAATAAAAAATAAAATAAAATAAAAATGACAATGAATAAAATTAAGGAAAAACAAAAGCGCCTGGCTTCTACATAGAAAGATCAACAAGGCGCAGGTTCGAGGGAGACTGCAGGGGCTGCACCTTCAGGACCCA